CCCCAAAACCCCAAAACCCCAAAACCCCAAAACCCCTCTACTAATTTCCATCATTGAAAATCAAAACCTCAAAAATCGCCCACCCAATTTAACCCAAAAATCTCTAAAATCCCTTTCTCCCAAAATCCTTCAACTCTAATCCCATTTCCCTCTGACCTCTCTCACCACTATCCTTCCCAAATCCCAGCCCAGTCACCACTTCTTCTACCCATTCTGGCCACTGGCCACCAAATTTGGCCGTGTCAGGACTGAAATTGGCTGAAAATGAGCGACTCAGTTGGATCTGGCTGGAGCTGAGGGGCTAATTTTATGCCTGAAAGGGTTGAAGATGAATTTAGAACAAAGCAATATTTTCACTCATATCATCAAGTTTTTCAGCCTCGTACTTTTCTTGCTTCAGACGTAGGTATTTGGGGATGTTACCCACTGTTCCTGGGAGGTCGTAGTCCGCTGGCCCTGGTTCGTAGGTCTTTTTGATTTTGTTGTCTTTCACTTCGTTTCCGAATTTGACTTGGGGTCCTTCGTTTTTACCTCTCATTTCATAAGCTCCTGGGCCTGGGGAGAGATAAGCTTTTCCTACTCCGAGGTCACTCCTTTGACCGGTTCCGAAGAGATGCATAATTTGAGGATGCTTGTAGAGATCATGCTTATAATCAGCAGGGCCTGGAGTCTCTTGTCCACGATTAGCCTTGTAATTAGTTCTCATTCCCATGTGGAATTTGTACTTCTTGTCTTTGTCTTTATCATCTCCTTTTCCTCCATCAGCTGATGGGAACTCTGTGACATCATAAGCGTTGGGAGCAGGAGTTTCATATTTAGATTTGAGGGGGTCTCTTTCACCTCTGGGAAAGGTCCATCCTCCAGCTTTCTTCTCTTGTGGGTTTTTGTCTTCACCGAGTCCTTTACCCTCCTCTTCTGGTTGCTGTTCTTTGAATCTTGGAGGACCTTTATCCAAGATAACACCTGGGACGTGGTCGAGATAGTCAGAGGGTCCTTGGTCTTCAAAGTAGTTTCCTGGGCCTGGAACTCCGTTGTCAGTGTTAGTTTTTGGATTTAACGATCCTCCAAGCATGCTTACATGCTTTCCTTTGGGAAGTGTATTGAGGACTTCGTATTCTCCTGGTCCTGGCAATTTTTGTCCCCTCTCTTTTGGATCGTCGAATCTCTTAGAGAGTGGGAAAGAGTACAAATCTGATTCTGGCTTTGCAGGCTGAGGGTCAAAATTTGTAGAAGGAATAGGTCCTGAGATCTTTTGCAGAGAAGATTTTCCAGCTTTGGAAAACTTGGTTCATGGCTTTTTGAATTGAACATCCTTTGATTCATAATATCCTGGGCCTGGTCCGGTATCCTTAGGACCTCTGTTCCTGTACCCGAATCCTTTACCTCCACCGGGTCCTTTTGACCCAAAGGAATACTTTGGAGCTCTTGATTTCAAGACAATATTGTAACTACTTGGGCCAGTGTGGTCTCTTTCAACGATAGTTTCCTTGGGGGGATCATTCTTCTTAAAAGGTGGCCCTCTCCAGTTCATTGTCTCAATCTCATGGGTTCCTGGTCCGGGTCCTGGTGTTTCCTTATCCTTGCATCTTTCATCCATTCCTAACGTGTAAACATCCTGATAGTCTTCAGGATTAATTTCTGAAGGGGAAGGAGATACTTGATCAGGATAATTTATCGCAGGAGCATTTACAGTCCTCGGATCATCATCTTCACTAGGCCTATCCTTCTTTCTGCGAGGTTTTCTAAACTTGTTTTGAGGTTTTCTAACTGGGATTTTAGTTCTTGCCCGAATATGTGGCTCCACAACCTTATCATTGGGCTTACGCTCGTAAGTTCCAGGAGCCGGGACTCTAGTCTGCTCTTTATCAATAGGATCGATACGTTTTCCCCACCCAATATCATAAGCAGGAGAGGAATAGACGAAATCGGTCATTGCCTTATTGACCAAGCTCATTATTATTTTAAATTTATTTTTATAGTTGAAATAAATTGGGGTTTTGGGGTTTTGGGGTTTTGGGGTTTTGGGG